AATTGATTTGATACTACAATATAAGTTGTTTATTAGTTTAAAAAAATGATTGATAGAATAATCAGTTTTTTAGCAATAGGAGACGATAATAGGACTTTACAAATAAGAAATAAAACTTCTTGTCATCTTTTATGGGGAAGGTTCGTTCAACAAAACAGCATAACAAAATAGTTAATAAATCCTAACGCTCCAATACAAGAATGCAATCAAATATTGTGCAAAATTGATATTTAAAAATATATATGTATGTGTGTGTTAGATAAACAAGATTGACTGACTGAAAGCCCAAATATATCAAGACTGATGACCTAACATAAGAAAATTCACCAACTTCACAAAAAAATTAGGGTCATACCAACACACGTTTCCAATGGACTTGTGATTCTTACAAGTTTCTCAACAAATAGTTGAATCTTTTCTTTTTGCCTCAAACTTAAAATTCAAACACTTATAAATGTGTCATTTGATTTGTTTCTAGCTAACTACGTCTGCACCAAATATGGCCTTCAAATTTCATCAATTTTCGGCCTTGGTCAAGTCCATAATTATCATAAGCTGCTTGCAATTGAACTCATTTGGAGTTTCCCAAAATGATGAGGATTTGACCAAGGGAGCTTCATTTATATTTGGGGATTCTCTAGTTGACGCGGGCAACAATAACTATTTACAAACTTTGTCCAAGGCTAATATTGCCCCAAACGGTATCGATTTCAAAGCTTCCGGAGGAAATCCAACCGGTCGGTATACAAACGGAAGAACAATTGGAGACATTGTTGGTAAGTTCAAATTTTCAAGTCGAGATGATTAGTTTGTCAGTCTGTCTATGCGAGAGCACATTAAGATGTGTCCATCAGTCACGTGTCAAAATCTCATAATCTTTCAATCACATACTCTGTGGTGTATAGTAAGTTAATCTTGTACAACATCAACTGGTAAATATATTAACTCGTGTCCACTGTACTCAATTAAAGTCGCATAAAGACTTTGTGTGTGCATCTTTGTAGTCTCATTTCGTTAATGATCGAACATTTATAAAGTCGCATGAATAAGTATTGACTTATTTTCGTAACTCGTTTGCTACACGACAGGGGAAGAATTAGGGCAGCCACACTATGCGCAGCCGTTTCTTGCCCCAAATACGACGGGAAAAGCCATATTGTACGGTGTGAACTATGCCTCCGGTGGAGGGGGAATCATGAACGCCACTGGAAGTATATTTGTGAGTGGATAAATAAAAAATACAAAATTATATTCCAATGATAAAAGAAATAAAGAAGCATAAAAAACAATCATCATTTAAACTATTTGCAGGTGAATAGGCTTTCAATGGACATTCAGATTGATTATTTCAACATCACAAGGAAACAACTTGACAGATTATTGGGGGCATCAAAGGCAAAAGAATACCTTGCTAAGAACTCAATTTTCTCCATCACAGTAGGGTCCAATGATTTTCTCAACAATTACCTTTTGCCTGTTATATCAATGGGTGCCAGAATAAGACAGAGCCCCGATGCCTTTGTTGATGACCTCATTAACCATCTAAGAGGACAATTAAGGGTCAGCAAATGATCAATTTATTTTAAATTCTTCAACTAATTATACGTTAATAATGTTTTCATGTCTTAATTTTGGAAAAAATAATATTTTGAACGCAGAGGCTTTATCAATTGGGGGCAAGGAAATTTGTAGTGGGAAATGTGGGGCCAATTGGGTGCATTCCTTACCAGAAAACTATCAATCAGCTAAGTGAGAATGAGTGTGTTTCATTACCAAATAAGCTTGCACTTCAGTATAATGCCAGATTAAGGGACCTTGTGCAGGAGTTAAATGGGAATTTAGATGGAGCTACATTTGTCCATGCTAATGTCTACGATCTTGTCATGGAACTCATCACAAATTATGCCAAATATGGTCAATCTTCTTTGATTTCTTTTCATTTTTTTTGGTTTGTTTTAACCTTTTCGAAGAATTCAAATGTTAGATGTAAATTTTTGCAGGATTTACTAGTGCAAGCAGAGCTTGTTGTGGTAATGGCGGCCAATTTGCGGGTATAATCCCATGTGGGCCGACATCAAGTATGTGTTCGGACCGTGATAAGCATGTCTTTTGGGATCCTTACCATCCAAGTGAAGCTGCTAATGTTATAATCGCAAAACAATTATTGGATGGTGGTACAAAGTACGTATCTCCCATGAATCTCAGGCAGCTCCGAGATCTTTGATTTTGTCGGTTTTTCTTGATTTTGATGTTGTGAATTGTGATAGTTACCAACTTGTTTGTATTTACCAAATGAAAAAGAAAAGGGAAAAAAAAAACAGATTTTATAATGAGATTGTGTGTTGTTTCTAATGTGTTTGAAATTACAACCAATTTATACACTATGGAGTTATTAATTTGAAGAAGATATTGATTTTCAAAAGAATTTTGGTTTTTTGTTGTAGTCTATAGATGTACTTTTACACTTTGGGCTGGAGAAGGTGTTGAGAATTCAGCCCAATTAAGAAAAAAGAATAATGTGTTTTCAAGTTTCAGCATTGAATATTTACCAATTTTTCTAAGAATTGCAGAAAAAATATATACGAGTATGATGCTGCACGTGATACTTAAGAAGAGCCTAGCTTGCTCTATTTATGATGGATTAATGTCATCATAATCATAACTAGTATGTACCCCGTGCGATGCACGATACAGAGATATTAAATGAGTTATTTTCACAGTCTTGTTCGTTTGTCTAAAAAATAATAGGATTATTATCTATTTTCCACCTCCTCTAATCAACGTTAAGTCTAAAAACAATAAGATTATTATAAGTTTTTTTCACATATTTTAACCAGCGTTGTTTTTTTAGTCAGAACATTAAATATGATCATGTTAGGGCTAGCTCGTGAAATAATTAATATATTATCTCACTAAAATATTTATACTAATAAAAATTTGATTTTAGCATATAAATTTATCCCTTGATATAAGAGAAAGTAACAGTTTTACTTATTGTTGTTCACTATATAATATTTAATTATTATTTTATTATATAATAAAAAGGAATACTGTTAAATAGTGTAGTAGAATTGTTATAAAATTATATGAATTATATTTTTTTTTTACAATATGTATTTAATATATTTTTATGATTTGATAATATAACTATAATATATTCTTAATGATATCATAATATGAGATACGGATTTACATAATACTATGGATTTATTCCTTAATGTATAGATATTGAATTAGGTAATATATGATTCACTAATTTGTAATATGTCTCTTTTTATATTGAAAGTAATCATGTGATTGAGTAGAGATAACAATTATCTATAAATTCCTTCATTTAAGGAATAATTTTTAAATTGGTCAAAGTGTTGAATGCAGCCCGATTTTCTTGTAACCAAAATAAGAAGAGATTTTGAATTTCAAATTTTCACTTCAAAACCACACGTAAATTTGGATGCAGATTTTATTAAAAATAAAATGAGAATATATTTTGAATTTCATATTCACTTCAATATCTGTCGAAATTTTCAAAAATGAATTCAACAAAACACATGATTTTAGGGGCATTTAATGCTACCCTATTTTATGATTTAAAATATCTAAAAATTTCTAAATATGGTGTATAATTAATTATGAGTTGACTTTTCTTCCTACTAATTATAGTAAATGAGATGGCTTTTTATATAAGTATGAATGAATACCACAAATAATATTTTATTATAATTTATATATGTGAGTGACATTCATCAAGCATCATATATCTTCTTTATTTTTTATCCCTTTGTTGAAATTTATTATATAAAAAATGAGAACAATCCATTTTAAACTCAAAGTACAAATGAAGCACAAACCACCACCGTGTGTTTTGAAAGACAGTTTTCTTCTTAAATGCAGTGTAATTATCGATGTTTTTTTCTTTCGCTTGATCAATATATAAGTAGGATTTAATTCTACACAAAATTGTAGTTATTATATTATTTTACCATTGAATTCATAGACAAGTCTTCCTAACTACACTGCAATCATCGAATCTTTTGCTTTGAATCAACACATAGGCAGGTTCGATTCTACTACAGTTACTATTGATTCAACATGTAACTCACTCTAACTACACTGCAATCATCGATTCTTTTACTATTGGATCAACACACAAGTAAGATTTGATTCTATATATTGCACTTTTCACCTTTTTCTTATCGTTGAATCAACAAACACTTCGCTCTAACTACAATATGATCATTGAATTTTTTACCGTTAGATCAACACACATGTAAAATGTAATTTTATATGAAGCTAAGTTGTCGTGTTTTTGAGTCATTGAATAAACATACAACTTGCCCTAACTATAACGCAATCGTCGAATAATTTACTGTTGGATCAACACATGGGTAGAATTTGATTCTAATGTAGTTATCAAACTTTTTCCTTTAAATCAACAACACACAACTAACTCACTCTAACTACAATAATATCATGAATTAGTAGTATTTTTATTGTGGGATCCACACATGAGTATAATTTGGTGCCACTGCTATTATAAAAAAAAGTTACCGTTAAATGATCCTATCTCAAAATAGTACTGCATTTTTTATTTTTTTATGTTTAGTTTGTTTTGGGTAAAAGGCCTTGAAACTGGGAATATATTCTTCCAAGACAAAACGACAAAAAGACAGGCCGCCCAGAAGGCACAGGCGAAGACCCAACAACACTAACACCCCAAAAGTGCCAAATTTTCTATAAACAAAACATACATTCACACACACAAACACGAAATCAGTGTGTGGGAAATTGAAAAGGACTTGATAGAATGAGGAGTGGTTGATCAGATATATCGCATTATTACACACAGTACACAGTCCTGAGCGTGCTACTTCGCAACACCACCCAATTCCCCGACCAAATCTCACGTTTTGTGGCTAACCCAATAATTTTGATTCTCATCATAAATTAAAATGATACGCCGTTTAAAAAAATTGGAAATTGCATGTATCCAATTAATTTAACTTATTTTTAAGAAATTGTATTATTCAATGGTGTTTATTTGATGTCGGTTTAGGGGAGAAATTAGTCAACTTCACTGAAAATCACTTGTGACATACTTAATCAAATCCAACACATATCGTCCGAGATCTAAATTGGTTTGGTAGGTTGTTGACTTGCATAGCATGAGGGAGATGTAAATTACATGGTTATGGATCATATGAATTATTTATTTAATAGTTTTTCAATTAGACTACATAATTGGTAGAAGACATATTTTTTTAACATATATATATATACATTTATTTTTAAATATCATACTTTAAAATATAATATAAATAGAATGATATTTTGTAGAATGAGTAAATATTTTTATAACAAATTAAGGTTGTCTTGGTTACAATAACATGTTATGTGTTATAACTCCTGCCATATTGGCCTAATCAATTAACAAGGAAAGATCATTTGTTATACTAATTAACCACTCATGATGAGCTAGAAGAATAAAAATTTGTGACATGTGCAGCACGAGAAATGAAGAGCAATTGCGGTGATTGGAAGTGAGTTCGCTTCATCTGCTTTTGATTTATTAGATAAAGTGAGTTATTTTAAATGAAATTGATTGAGTAAAATTTTGAATTTTTATTAAATAATATTTTGAATTTGTATTAGAGTAATATCTAAAATATAATGATAAAAGTTGATTTGATGTAAAAGTAGGAGAGTAGTGATTAAAAACGATGAATAGTTAAAATTATTTGAATAGATGCATATTGAATTAAAATTGATGTGATGTATGCAAATGATTGATTCATATTGTTTAATTATATTGATAATATTGAGAAAAATTTGGAGTGAGTTAAGTTTAAATTAGATTTTGGTTAAAAAGATGTAAATGATTGATTGAGTGAGTTCGAGGCTNATTTTTAAAGTAAATACATGCTTTAAGTGGAAATGCTACCTGTTACTCATTCTTTATGATTTTTTAACACTATAATCATCATATATGATATGATAATCTCTTGCACATCAACTGAAAAATATTTTAATTCATGTCACCATGAGCAGGAGAGCAGAACTGCAACTTTTCCAATTTTATTACTAGAATTAGGTCTTAATGAATTGACAAATAAATTTTTAAATGGGGGCAGCTACACAAACAAACATTGGAGATGTTATGGTACAATGATGGACCACCTAGCTTGATTGCTGCTGCATATTAAATAATTTTGACACTTTAGTTAATTCGTTTCATTGTATGGAATCCAACCTTCTTTGTGTAGAAACCCTTTTTTTTTTTTTGCTAAAGAACTACTTAAACCCCAAAAATTATACATTTTAAATGTGACTTATATCAACCTTTAAATTTGTTTAATAATATTGTAAGACTAAAAGAATTATAATAAGATATAAGTGGTTTAATGTTTTTCATTGCTCATTGCAATACGAATAGCATCAAACTTTTATACCGATTACACTTAAGAGAATAATTAATGTTCACGTTTGCCATTGCCATTAAAAAATCGCCTCTGTTCTTAATATTGTACTTAAATGGCTGGGATCATATAGTATAATTATTTAATTATAATCACCAAAGAGAGAAAGTAACGCGTAAAAGTCCATACCAAATCCAACCATGTCTGCATATGTATGACACCGTAGATTATAAAATGTTGACCCAAACATAAAAATCATGTTTGATTAGTGTGATAATCCCAAAGAAATCTTCAATCGCATCACTTTAACTAATTAACCAATGAGAATGCAGCATTAATTAATCAGTCTACATAGTATATTTTGTAAGTTAGAGCTCTTTTTAATTATACAATTAACATTTTTCAATAAAAAATATATTTTTACATTAAAATGTTATATTTTAAATATATAATATAAAAAATTGGGATATTTCACCATCCAAGAATTTATCTTTTTTTACGCAAAAAGTAGAGCTGCTTGGCTAAGAATTCGTCTAATTTATTTATTTGAGATTGAGATAACATGTTGTGCAATTATGCTATAGGTGATGAACAACACGATGTATTTCATTCACCCACATTTAGTATAACTAATTTTTAACCCGTGCATTTGCGCGGAAAGAAATATAATAGAATAAAAAATAATAAAAAGATACTAACAATAGTAAAAATCATAATATAATCATTGAAAAAATGTTCTAAGAAATAATAACTAAATATTATTAAACAATTTTTTATATACAGCGTTTGTAGTTTTTCTATCAACAGAATTTCCATCATTACAAATCACTATCTTCAAATTAAGACATATAATGGTTTTATTTTTTTAAATAATTATTGTATTTTGTACTATAGATCATATTGGAAATTTAAAAAAAAAAACTAAAAAAACTACCAGCAAAATATTACAAAATAAATAATTATATTTGGTTGATAAATAATGATATTTGCCAAATATTTAAGACATTTGAACAAAATGGCAATTTTTGGGCCATAAAGAAATATATTAATTGAATGATAAAAAAATCTCAAATTAGAAGTCCACTTAATTTTTTAGGGTAACCAAAATCAAATATAAAACAGGTCAATGATAACATATCTATAAATAGAGATAAATTCCTTGATAGTGATGTAAGCCATTTGTTTTTGTTTGATGTTGGCGCTTCTCTCATTATTCACTCTGTCTGAAACCCTAATCCTTAACCCGATCTTATATTACTAAAAACTCGGCGAGATTCAATACAAAACAAATGTTTTACCGGATATTTTCTCCTGGTAAAGGCTTAAAATCTTAAAAAACATCTGAGAAATGTTGTTTTTGTGGCCAACAGTAGTGATCGAAAAATAAATATTCGTCCCGATTTCTTAATCTGTGTTGCTAAATCTTAACAGGTCAGTCAAAATCGGGCTATAATATTACAAATCTATGAAGAGCTGAAATATTTTTTGTTAAACGTAGTTTTTATTTTTTATTATTTTCAATGATCTGTGTCGTTATTCAAAATTCTTTGTGAATAAGCTTCAAAGATATATCATATTTTATACATAATTCGACATTATTTAGATGTTTTTCGAAATCATTTTTTCAAGAGAACATGACATTGGTCGAACTTTTTCAAACTTTTATGTATTTTGTTCAGGGTTTGAAAAAATAGGTAAGTTTCTAACAGACCTGTTCAGCTCTACTAACAAATATATAGGTAAGTTTATAACATATCTGTTCATATCTGTTTATAATATACATATGTAACTTTTATATATTTTGTTCATATTTTGAATACCAAATAGTTCAATTCTTTATCGTCTTTCTCATCATATCAGTAAGTGAAGCTTTGCTAACACTTGTTCAAAATCGCTTTTCGAAATTGTTCAAAGTCTTTTGCCGAAACTTTTCAAAGTTTTTAGTATTTTGTTCAAAATTTGAAAATATTAGGTAAGTTTATAACAAATTTGTTTAGATATATTTATCGCATATTATGAATTTCTTGTTTACTGTTTAAAAGAATCTGTAGGAATTTTTATTTTTAAACTTTTACGCAAAAAAATCGATTTTAATATAAAGACAGATGTCTTGGTAAAAGTTGAATGTGTTGATAATGATAGAGAAATCAAAATTATTTTTGTTTCTATATTGTATAGTGTCCAATAATGTTCCACATAATTTGCTGTGTTTTTAATTTTGATTTTTTTTATATAGATTTGACTTTTTTTGTTGATTATTAGTTATGCTTGATATTTCTATATTATGCAACAATTTGCCATTACATACAATGCTTTGTCAATCCTCATTCTTTGACTTTGCCAAATTCCGTTTAATATGACTTTTCTGTTGCTGAAAGTATGGTTTTTGATGCATTAAAATATTGATGTTTTGGATTTGTTTTGATGCTATAATCATGTAGAAATTTGTCCCGCCACTTTTTTCTTAAAGAAGAATTGTTTAATGAAAATTAATCATATTTATATTTATAATTGTGAAATAATATTTCTTTTCACGGCCAACAATTTATTTTTTTTAATGAAAAATATGAGACAATTTATTCAGCACACTTTTTAATTTATAAAACAGAATGTTGATTGCGATAATCAAATCTGCAGAAATCATGCATTTTATTGAATAGTAGTAATATAAAATATTTTGTTATTACTACCAAATGGAAAGTCAAAGATAGTTAATTTTGCACTATTATTTATGATCATATGGAATTTTTGTATACATATGTTTTTTCAATGAACTTTTTAAATGATAATATTGACAATATAAACTTTGTATAATAATTATATAGACTGTGCTATAATAATAATTTATTTATTTAATTCATTAATATTTTAATTCATCTTATTATGCGTATAGTCTAAGTTTATAAATTATATGTCATTTAAATGTATCTATACTACTAATTTATAAGGTTTTACCATTTGGGGGGGCTAAATTTTTAATTTTAATTACGAAACTAATCTTTCTTATCATTTTGCAGCTATATGTTTGATGGAGTATGGCTGAAAATTAAATTACTAAAAAAATAATTTTATTTTTTATATTATAATGTAACATGATTTGTATTATAATTTTTATATTTAATACATTCATTAATATTTTTTATAACTAATTGCTTATTCAATTCATAATGGAATAAGAAAATAATAATATATAATTTCTGCACAACAATAATATATGTATATATATGAGAATAAGAAACATAAATGTGGGATTAACTAAAAGAAATCTTTTTAATTTAGTCATTAACTAATTAGGTTTAACTAAAAGCAACTTATTTAAATGTGGAATTAGTGAGTAATTAATTAAAAAATGTAACTCCTTTTGGAGGGAAAGTGAAAATGTTTTTATTAAATATTTTATTAATGAGATTAGTTAATAATTATATATATATAGATACATCAAATAGAGCATGACTAATTCAATAAAATTCAGAAAATTGCATCAAGAAATGGTTAGAAGGATATTGTGCTGTACCTGTATTATTTCTAATTTTCAAAAGCAAATGCAGGGTGCAGAAGTACAACCAACTGTAACAAAAGAGTAAGAAGATGTATAGAAAAAATTTTATGCTACAATAATCTTCTAAAATAAAGGACCATAAACACCCACATTATTTTTTTGTTAACTATTTCATTTTTCTTTTTTTTTTTTTCTTTTTT